CTCTGACTGGTTGTCATCTTGCAGCTGCCTGGCTTGCTGTTGCACAATATCGGAAGAACGTAAAGGGTTCCAAGTGAGCTAATTGTTATAAACTGGTTTGGTGAGTTGCTTTGGTGGAAAAATGAACAGTGAAACTGCGTCTGGCTAAAGGAATGAAATAAAAAGATTCTTTTGAGGCAGAGGGGTGCTGCTTTATTGTTTATGCAAGCAAAGATGAAACAACAGACATCTCCCAGAAGCATAGAAAACTTTCTGCCTGCTAGAACATTGCCATCTTGGATTTTGATACTTCCTAAACTGATGTCTTTGCTTTGTTTCATTTATTTTACCTTACACTCTCTTTGTATCCTCTCTGATATGAGACTAATTTTAAAATTAGTCAACATGTTTCTCTGGAGCAGTGATGTTTGTATCTGCTGTTAGTAGCAGTACTGTTTAGAAACTGCCTTTAGAGAGCTTTTGGTAGCATGCACATATTTTAAATGAAAAAGCAAATGGCAGTATCAATTTTTATCAATTTTTAAAGTGGGGGGGGGATTTTTCTCTACGGCTATCAATTGCTTAAATTTATCTGGGTTGGAGAAGCATGAGCTACAATGAAACTTTAGGAGCCATGTTGAAACAATGAATAAGAGTTTAAGGATCCAGGGCTGTAAATCTTGTAATTTGCACATGTATCTGAGAGTAAATAAATCTCAGTGAACACATTTGGCACTTTCCCCAAACAGCCAAAATGCTTAAGATTTTTTTATATATAAAAAAAAATAAGCCGAGATGAATGGAGTTGTTTGTTGCCAAAAAGACACCCAAGTAAGCACCAGGTGATATTTCCTGGAATTAAGTCAATGGGTTGAACTTGTTACTTATTTCATCACCATCCTCTGCCCCATTGGAAATTCTAAAATAATGCTGGGAAATCTTTGCCTCTGCAATTGTTGCTAAACTACAACACCCATCCACTGTAGCAAGCAGGGACAAAGGCTAGGGATGATGGGAGATGTAGTTTGGCAACACCTGCCCTAATATGATCCCTTATTAGACAAAATATGATCCCATTGGCTTAATAGAAATAGCAATCATATCCTGGGCTAATCTAAGAATAGCTCAGCTGTGGTCTTCGTTCAGACCTTGGCTCAATATTGTTGGTATTCATCAGAAATCACTTGTGACAAAAAACTGGGGTTGCCTTAATCTCATGAGGCAGAGCGTTCCACCAGGCCGGAGCCAGAGTTGAAAAGGCCCTGGCTCTGGTTGAAGCCAATCTAACATCCTTAGGGCCTGGGACCACTAGGGTGTTGTTATTTATGGACCTTGAGGCTCTCCGTGGGGCATACCAGGAGAGGTGGTCCCGTAGGTATGAGGGTCCTAGGCAGTGAAGGTCTTTAAAGGTCAAAAGCAGCACCTTAAATCTGAGACTGTACTCCACCGGGAGCCAGTGCAGCTTGAAAAGCACTGGGTGAATATGCTCCCATGGCAGAGACCCCGTGAGGAGCCTCGCTGCAGCATTCTGCACCCGCTGGAGTTTCTGGGACAGCTTCAAGGGCAGCCCCGCGTAGAGCAAATTACAGTAGTCAAGCCTGATGATGACCGTCGCATGGATCACTGTGGCCAGGTCGGGGCGGGAAAGGTAAGGGACCAACTGCTTGATGCGGCAAAGGTGGAAAAATGTCGCCTTGGCTGTTGCTGTAACCTGTGCCTCCATGGAAAGGGAGGCATCAAGGATTACACCCAAACTCTTAACGGAAGGCAATGGCACTAATTGGGCCCCCGCAAGAGAAGGGAGTTGGTCCCTCATCCCCATGCCATCCCAACCTAGCCATAGGACCTCTGTCTTCGAAGGATTTAGTTTCAATCGGCTCCCACGAAACCATCCAGCCACAGCTTCCAAGCATCTGGTCAGTGTGTTCAGGGCCGAGTCAGTGTGGCCATCCATCAGCAGATAGAGCTGAGTGTCATCAGCATATTGGTAAGAGCCCAGCCCAAAGCTCCGGATAATCTGGGCAAGGGGGTGCATAAAGATGTTAAAAAGCATCAGGGAGAGAATTGCGCCCTGTGGCACTCCACACACCAAGGAGTGGCGCGACGACATTTCCCTCCCTAGTGCCACCCTCTGTCCCCGACCAGAGATAAAAGAGCACAACCAATTACGGGCTGTGCCCTGTATCAACACGTCTGCGAGGCGGTTGTCCAGAAGATCATGATCGACCATGTCAAAGGCTGCTGACAAATCTAAAAGGATCAGCAGTCCTGACCCGCCTTGATCCAGTTGTCTATGGAGATCATCTGTTAGGGCAACCAGAGCCGTCTCCGTCCCAAAACCAGGACGGAAACCGGACTGAAATGGATCTAATGCCGATGTTTCCTCCAGAAACCTACCAAGCTGTTCAGCGACCACTCTCTCAATTACCTTACCCAGGTATGGAAGATTTGAAACTGGGCGGTAATTGGATAGGTCTAAGGGATCTAATGAAGTTTTCTTTAAGAGTGGACACACCACTGCTTCCTTCAGTTCCCCTGGGAATGTCCCCGTGTCAAGGGACAAGTTGATAATTTCAACCAGGGGGGTCTGCACAACATCTGGACACTCCCTAATCAGCCAAGATGGGCACGGATCAAGGAGGCAGGTGGTGGGCGTACCAACTTGGAGGAATCTATCCACATCAGTAGGGAGTATCCGATCAAAATGGTCCAACACTGGACCTGAAGTCAGTCGAGGGGCCTCCAGTTCAGTCACTGTATCTAAATTGGCAGGGAGGTCACGGCGGAGCAACAGGACTTTCTCCGCAAAAAAGCTCGCGAATGCCTCACAGCTGTGGGTCAAATTTGTGCTTAAATTTGGTTGTCCTCCTAAGGACGTTATTGACCTAATTATTCTAAAAAGTTGTGCCAGGCGAGAGCTAGCGGATGCAATGGAAGCTGCAAAGTAAGATTTCTTAGCAGCTTTCATAGCCATCTCATAGGCTTTCATAAGCGTCCTATAAGATGTTCTTGAGGCTCCGTCACGAGTCCATCGCCATACTCGCTCCAGCCGTCTAAGATCCCGCTTCATTTTCCGGAGCTCCTCAGTAAACTAAGGGGCCCGGTTTCAACGGGGTCGCAGAGGGCGCTTAGGCACGATCTCATCAATGGCTGCCAAGAGCCAGTTATTCCAGTCCTCAACAAGGTCATCTAATGAGTCGCCAGGAGGAGCAGGGTTCCGCAAGGCTTGTCGGAATCTATCAGGATCCATCAGTTTTCGTGGATGAGCCCAAATAGGTTCGCCACCTGAGCCGGGGAGGAGCGGGAAGTCAATCTTGGCTTTCAGAGCGTAGTGATCAGACCATGGCACTTCCACAGTGGGGAGCATGATCACATCTATGCCAGCCCCAAAGATCAGATCCAGCGTGTGGCCTGCTTGATGAGTGGGGCCCAAAGCAAACTGGGAGAGCCCTAGTGTTGCCATGGAAGTCACTAGGTCCAGAGCCTGTGAGGAGGGAGCGGCATCGGCATGGACGTTGAAGTCTCCCAAAACCAGTAGGCTTGGGAACTCCAAGGCCCAGCCTACCACCACCTCCAGCAGGTCTGACAGGGTGGCTGCAGGTGTGCTGGGTGGTCGGTACACCAGCCAGACAGCCAAGCTCTCCTTGGTGCCCCACACGAGACCAACACATTCAATGCCGGAGATCGCCGGTGATGGCAGAGCTCTGAAAGAGCAATCCTCCTGGAATAACAACGCTACTCCTCCCAGCAAAGTGCCCAAAATCATTTCAGGAAGGAAAGGATGTGGAACATTGCCACATATTTGGGAATTGGTAAGGCTTCATAAGCAAGGTGGAAAGGACTTAGTTTTGTTTTGGTGTTTTGTTTTTTTAATCATGCAGTTTAAAATTCTAAATGCAGACCTTCCAATTGTCCCTATTTTACAGGACAATCCCAGATTTACAGAAGCCGTCCTGGTTTCAGATTTGATCCTGGAATGTCCCGCTTTTCCTTAGGGCATCCCTATTTCCATCAGAGAAAAGCTGAAGGCAGTACTATTTTTTTAGACAAAGAGGTCCTGAAACTCACCATCAGCACCCTTCCTCTTGCCCTTAGAATGAAAATGCCAGAACTGAGTTCCAGTGAGTTCCAGCTGAAAAACAACAACTCTGGTTGGAAGGTATGTAGTTTAGTGATCACCAAGCCAAGGAGACAAGTAACTATGCAATCTTTACAAGACATCTTAAGGCAGCCCTGTTTAGGGAAGTTTTTATTTTTTAAGGTTTAAGGTTTTATTATGTTTTTATTAATGTTGAAAGACACCCAGAATGGCTGGGGTATTATTATTATTATTATTATGGACGTCCCTATTTTCACCAGAAAAAAAACAGCTTTCCCTTCCCATGATGCCTCTTAAATCATCCTTAAATCCAGAACCAAGAGAATTAGAATCTTATTTTACTTTTTAGGAAAGGGTCACAGCTCAGTGGTAGAACTGATGCAGAAGGTCCCAGGTTCTATCCCTGAATGGGAATGTCCTCTCCTTGAAAACCTGGAGAACATCTCCCATTCAATGTTGACAATACTGAGCTAGATGGACCAGTGGTCTGATTCAATATGAGGCAGCTCCCATGTTGCTGGTATTGCTGTTCTGCGTTGTGGTTTATTCATTTTCCCAGTGGAACACCATCTGGGATGGAAACCAGAAAGATCAAATGACACTACCAGGAAACTGCAGGTGTTAATGCAATTGGAAGTTTTATTACTATTATTGAGAAGCAGAAGCAAGGAACATTTCCAAAGTTTGAGGTGGCAACCAAAAGCCAATCCAGACATGGAGGTTACTTAAATGCAAACATTACTAATGAGAAAGCAAAAGATTGCAGCCAAAAGATTGGGAGACATATGAGAGGGGTATGCTGTTCATCAAATATCTGCAAGTGACTGAGCTACATAATTTGTTGGGGGGTTTTTGGTCCTTTTTTATATAAAGGAAATGACACACAATAGTGCTTTTTAGATTGGGTGGAATCTTGGGTGAATCAGAAGCTGAAAATAATATCAGCTGGTCTGTTCTGGCTAGGACGAGGATTGGATACATGTGAACTTATGCCGACAAACTCAGAAATTCTGAACACCCCAGTTATGAATGCAATTTTCTGATTTTTTCTCCACAGTCGTCTTCGAATGTTCATTCTGTGCCTGAGTTGTGGGTCCTTAGAACCTTCGGCAAGGGCCGCAGTCACTTCTGGGTAGCGACAGCGGAGAACAAAGGCTGGGGGAGATGGCTGCACCAGCGGAGATGGGGGCAATTCCTTCGCAGCACAGAGCGGGAGCACAAGGGTTGCATTGATCGACGCAGAGAGGCTGGTCAGAACAGTGGAGAGCTGGGCCCGGAATGCATATAGTGAACGGTGGTGGCTGAATGGTGACGGTGGAGGTAGGGCATTTACTGTAGCACTGGGTCTTTCCACAAGACATATTTGCTGAATGGATCTAAGGAAAAGCATTAAAATAATATAAGAAGAGTCTGCTGAATCAGGTTAATGGCATATCTCGTCCTGCGTCCTGTTCTTCCAGCGGCCAACCAGATGCCCTTATTTGTATCCCACAAGCAGGGCCCAAGCACAACAATATTTTTTTTACTTCAAATAGTCATGACTTCCCTCAAAAGATCCTGGGAAATGGTGGTTTGTAATCAGGTTCTGAGAGTTGTTAGGAGCCCTCTCTTCCCCATACAGTGCTGCAATATTAAAAGTGATTTAACTATCAACTCTTCTTCCCAAGAAACGCTATCAGGAGAGAAATGAGCCCCCGATTAACTCTAAGCACCTTAAAAAGTATAGTTCATAAGCTTCCTTATTTTTCACGTGGTATTATATTACTATAACTGTATAGTGCAGATAATTTAGGGTCAGATAATTTCATTGGAACTAATATGAATAGGGTTTAGTTGACTGAAATATATATATATATATATATAAGTATAGTACTTTGCAATGAACTGTTTGCAATGTGTTAAAAGTTATTGTCATGGGATACCTTCCCCCAGTGACCTTGTTATTACTGAGTTATTGCTACTCATTACACGACAGTGTAAACTCCACCCATTTGCTAGACTACCTGAATCAATATTCTTGAATTTCTGCCCTCCCTTCCACTCAACAGTACCCAGTCTCAGGTGTCCCCTGGCTCTCTGTGACCACCAACACCATCCAAAAGCCTAGCATAACCTGTATAGCAGCTACATTCTGTGGTCCTTCCCCTTGCGATGTTGGAATGTCCATGGACATCCCAGAACACATTTGGAGCAATGGATTGGGGGCCGAAAGAGTCTTCAGCATGAATGCAATTAACATGCAGCTTTTATATATTTTTAAAAAAGTAAATGGGTACAAAAATGCTTTATGCTATGATATCATTTCATTATTATTGATTTAAACTATTTGTATTTTGTTTCACTACAATCGTCTCCAAGTGGTGTCCAAGAAATACATTATGGAAAATGTAAAAGCTATAAATTCAGACTTCAATGAAATACAGTGGTACCTCGGGTTAAGAACTTAATTCGTTCTGGAGGTCCGTTCTTAACCTGAAACTGTTCTTAACCTGAAGCACCACTTTAGCTAATGGGGCCTCCTGCTGCTACCATTCCGCCGGAGCACGATTTCTGTTCTCATCCTGAAGCAAAGTTCTTAACCTGAAGCACTATTTCTGGGTTAGCGGAGTCTGTAACCTGAAGCATATGTAACCTGAAGTGTATGTAACCCGAGGTACCACTGTATACTAAAGACTTTTTAAAATTCCATTATTATTATTATTATTATTATTATTATTATTATTATATTTTAAAAGTCTTCATTAGGCGCTGGAAATTCAACAATGAGGGAGGTCATTCTGACCTCCATTGGAAGTGAGTTCACCATAATTGTCCCGTAATATTGAACACATGGCTCTGGGTGGATATGACCTGTGTATCCAAGTCATAGGGAATTCCTTACTGGGACTCCCCAGAAAACTGCAGAGATTGAGCATGGATACATTAAAATCTAGATTCAAAGTAATCCTGTTGAATCCCTGCCTGCTTTAACCTCAGCATATATCTTCAAATGTCCCTCCTGAGTCCTACCACCACTTCCCATCATGCAGAATTCCACAAAAGAACCGCCTAGAAAATCAACATTTGATCATTTATCCCCAAAAACTGTTGGAATTCAAAGATTCTGAATATGCTAGAGTGCATCTTGGTTACTTACCTGATTCTTCAAAGAGCAGGATTCGACTGGAGCGTCTCAGTGTTGAGGGAGGCTGATGGTGTCTCAGTGCATCTCAGGGCTTTTTATACCATTCCTTTCCAGAAGGTCCCAATTAACTGCTAGCATCATGTCCTATAATATAATATCCATCCTGTTCCAAGGTGTGAGTTCACCATCCATACTCATTTGTCCTGCCTGGTGTTTCAGCCCATAGGCAGGATCCTCCCTCCGGAAATTGCGAGGATCCAAATGCTTGCAAACCTGACTTTGGAGAATACTGAGCTAAAACAGCCTTCCTAGCTCAACAGCTCAATTTCATGGAATCATCCATTTGGAAAGGACCCCAAGACTCATCTAATCCCAAACCCCGCAATGCAGGAGTATGCAAGTGGCCCAAAATAAAGATATATGACCATTCACAGTGATGGGATGTCTCCCACCACAACCATGTCTAACCTCCAACATCATGCTCCACCAATGCATCCCTTGCCTCAACCACCTGAGCAAGACATCTCACTTTGCTTAGGGGTAGGACCACCTATGAACATGCAAAAATTCACCTTATTTGGTGGAACTCCCCCATTCACACAAGTAATGGCAAAGATGATGTTCAGAAGCTATGTGCATCCCATCTCATTTGATTAGAGTGCAGTGCTGATAGCACCAATGTCATGGGTTTGATCCCCATACTGGCCACGTGCATATTTTTGAATTGCAGAATGTTGGACTAGAGGACCCCTGGGGTCCCTTCCAAATTTAAAATCCTATGATTCCTTGATTCTATGAAATTGGGCTGCTTTAGCTCAGTAGCACCCAAAGTCACGTTTGCAAACATTTGGACCCTAGCAATTTCCGGAGGGAGGATCCCGCCTATGGGCTAAAACACCAGGTGGAACAAATGAGTATGCGGAGTGAAATCACACTTTGGGACAACCTGGATATTGTAGGATGGGACATGATGCTAGCAGTTAATTAGAACCTTCTGAAAAGGAACGGTATAAAAAGCCCTGGAATGCAAGGGGAAACCATCATCCTGCCTCAACACTGAGACACACCAGTTGAGTCCTGCTCAGTGAAGAATCAGGTAAGTTTGGTTAAAATACATCACAGAATCTTAAAAATCTTTGAATTCCAACAGCTTTGGGGGGAAAGTAGATTTTAGTATTTATATTGAGCTCAAAGGAGGCAGGAGTTGAAGAGCCTTATTTATTCTGTACTCTGGAATGTCTATGAACATCCCAACAATGTTATCATATCAAATTTAAACTTGATGAATCTTGAGAATGTGGTGCTTAAAAGGTGCTTAGAGTTACTAGGGGGCCCATTTCCTCCTCACACAGTTCCCTGGGAAGAGGAATTGATTGCTGAATCAAAGAATGGCTCTAAATTAGGCCACATTAAAAATAATGAATCTTGGGAACCGTAGTACTTTGGGGTGTTTAGAATCAGTAGAGCACCTATTTTCCCCTCAGAGTTTTCTAGGAACAGGAGTTGATTTTTAAATCACTCTGAAAATTGAAGTTCTGTGAGGGGAAGTTAGGCTGCTAAGAACTCTCTGCACCCATTAAGAAACTACCATGGGGGAAGCCATGACTGCTTAAAGTAGTGACTCTTGGGGACTGTAGTATTTTGGGAGTGGTTAGAACTGTTGGGGCACCCATTTCCCCCTCACCAGGTTCCCTGGGAAAGAGGGACTGCTTGTTCAATCACCATGAAAACTGAAGCTCAGTGAGGGGGAGAAAGGTCGCCTAAAAACTCTCACCACCCATTAACAAACCATTTCCCAGGTTAAAGGTAAAGGTAAAGGGACCCTGACCATTAAGTCCAGTCACGGATGACTCTGGGGTTGTGGTGCTCATCTCGCTTTACTGACCGAGGGAGCTGACATTTGTCCGCAGACAGTTTTGCTGGGTCATGTGGCCAGCATGACTAAGCTGCTTCTGGCGAACCAGAGCAGCACACGGAAACACCGTTTACCTTGCCGCCGGAGCGGTACCTATTTATGTACTTGCACTTTGATATGCTTTCGGACTGCTAGGTTGGCAGGGCTGGGACTGAGCCACAGGAGCTCACACCATCGTGGGGATCCGAACTGCCAACCTTCTGATCAGCAAGCCCTAGGGCTCAGTGGTTTAGACCACAGCACCACCCACGTCCCTTTATTTCCTAGATTATCGTACTTTGGTGTTAAGTAGAAATCTGCAGCTTGAAATGTATACAACTGATGGGGCCTTAGCCATGCTCCTTAACTTGAATAGGTGTGTTCTGCATGTGACTGGCATGAGCAACCACCCATGGTAGTAGGTTTGTCTATATAAATAAAGAAGTTATTTATCATGTGTCAAAAACAATAGAGCAGATGTTCTGAATACCAATGGGCAGGGAGGCCAAGCATCACTGACCAATGTTTATTTAACTGGAGGCGGTGGTCCTTCTGATTACTAGTTGCTGAAAACCACAGGAGGGAAGAGGCAGCTGGCTGGCCACAGTGAGAAAAGGATGTAGGACTGCATGAACCATTAACCTAATCCACTAACCTGATCTAATGTTATTTTAATGTGTTTCTTCAGATCCATTCAACAAAGATGTCCTGTGGAAAGAGCCAGTGCTACAGTAAATGCCCTAACTCCACCGTCACCATTCAGCCTCCACCGTTCACCATATCCATCCCGGGCCCAGCTCTCCACTGCTCCGACCAGCCCTCCTGCATCGAGCAATGCAACCCTTGCACTCCTGCTCTGTGCTGCGAGGGAATAACCCGCATGGGATGTGCCTCCATCTCCACTGGTGCAACTCCCGCTTTCATCTCCCCCAGCCTCTGCTCTCCGCTGTCGCTACCCAGAAGTGACTGCAACCCTTGCCGAAAATTCTGAGTGCCACCACTAGGCGCCATGAGATGCAGAACATAAATTGGAAGAAATTCGTGGAATCAGAAATCAAGAAATGTAATTGAAAATGGGGATATTTAGAATAGTTTGAATTTGTGGGAATGGGGTTGTATGTCCTGCTCTGAACAGTCTGGCTGAGATTAATTGACATGATGTACTTGGCAGCATTAAATTCAGTGGATCAATGCAGATTAAAATAATTATGGTCATTCAGTTCATTTCTATATTGCTTTATATTTTGAAAGGGGAGAAATCAAATAGTTTTACATTGAAATATCATATCAAACCATCCGGAAGAGATGATTGCAGAAGAAAATTGGATATAACATACACATTCAAAGAAACATAAATAACAGCAAAGTAATGTATTAAATATTTCAAAAGAAAGCATTATGAAAGGAAGTTAGATATACAGTGCACCATTAAAATAGCAGAATTGGCCTGGGAATAAAATATTATCTCAAGTATAAAGCACTTTTGCTGCTTTTGCTGCCAGTCCTGCCAATGGCTGTTCATGGTGAGTGGTGACTGTGGAAGTTCAGGTTTGATGTACCGGGTCTTCACTCAGAAATAGCCAAGATGGGCTCTCACCTCTTCAGCAGCCTCAGCTTTTGTAGCTCTGTCCATCAGGGCCAAACCTTCCTTAGCTGAGTGAAAAAATTCTTCTTCTTCTTTGGCGATCACTTACAGCCGAGTAAGATTTTCTTCCATGAATACGGTTTTAACAGTCAGTCCATAAGTGACTGTAAAGGCCAATTCTGGACCCACATGGCCTTCCACAGTGGGGACATTGATTACCAGGTGGGGGTTGATCACAGTGAAGATTTGCCAAGCGTGCCTTCCTCTTTGCACATTTCTCCCTTGCGTCCTGAGTTTGAGTGTCTTCAAAACCCATGACACCTTTGGTAAAAGCTGTTCTCTATTTGGAGAGCTCGTAGGAAATGTTTCCCAGTTGTTGGTGTTTATACTACATTTTTAAAAAAGATTTGCCTTGAGAGAGTTTTTAAACCTCTTTTGTTGACCACCTTAGCCGGGTGAAATTTTTTTGCAAGCTAGGGTCCAGGTGTTCCAGATGTTCTCTTGATAACAACAGGAACAGAGTATCGAACTGCCCTGAAAATGCAAAGACAGTTACAAAAGCCCTTAAGC